ATCCCCCAAGCAGTTCTGTTAGAAGGACCCTCTAGCTCCCTGAACCCTCAAACTCCCTAAACCCTCCCGATCAAGAAACACTACGTACAAGACTCTCCCAGAGTCTCAAATGTCGGAGGGCCCGCGTAGTAAGGGCAGCCCCAACCGCACAAAAACGAATCCCAAACCTAAACCCTCAACCCCAGAACCTTGGAGCCTTAGAGCCCTGAACCCTAGAACCCTAGATCCTTAGAGTCCTACCTAGGCCCTCCATCTACCCTCTATTAGACCCTAAAGGCCCTTAATTTGGGACAATTTACCCGCCCAATTTGAGGGTACTTGGAGGGTCCTGGTAAGCCCTAAACATAAATTCCACGCAGACCTGGCCTTCTTCTGGAATTTCATCTTCCCGTCCTCCTGGCGCATTCGGACGGAGATTTGCGCAAATGGTCGAGGCCTCATTCTTCCTTTAAGAGCTCCGTTAAAGGGTTCCTTTGAGGACACCTTTGTGGGGTCCTGCAAAGAGTTCCTTTGAGGATTTATGGGTTTAGGGGTTTCGGGGCTTAGGGTTTGGAGGTTTAGGGGTTTAGCAGTTTAGATTTTCGGGTTAGGGGTTTAGGGATTTAGGGTTTAGGGGTCTGGGTTTAGGAGTCTAGGGGTTAGGGTTTAAGGTTTGGGGGTTCAGGGGTCAAGGCTTCAGGGTGATAGTATAAAGGCCTTAATGCTCAGAATGAGCCGTTGAAGCATAGTTACCGTAAGGAACCCTAGGAAACAATGTCGGTACTTGTTCAGCCGTATATATTATATATTACAGGTTGTAGAATCTAGCAGTTCGTGTCTGACATACACAGAACCCCGGTAGACATTCAGAAATCCAATGCCAGCAACTATCAACCCCGAAGGAAGAGCCATTTAAGCCCCTTTAAGGAGGATTCCACAACCCTTGTTTGCGAGATCCTCATGTGATGAACTCTTTAGGACTATAAGCCCTGCTGAGACTGCACACCGAAAACCCTAAACCTAAACCCTAATAACCCTGAAGCCTAAACCCTGCACCCTACATCCCAAAGCCCGAACGCTAGACTCTAAGCCCTAAGCAAGAAAATGTCAACCCCACAACCACGAGCCCCTAAACACTGAAGGGTTTAGGGTTTAGGGTTCACGAACACTAAAGCCTAGTAAGCTCCATCCCCAAACCCTGACCCTAAGGCTCAAAATAGCCCGACAGCCCTGTAGAGTATGGTCTTTGGGCCCAGAAGACTTAGAAGATGAGTCCTTAGAGCCTTAGGGTGGAGCCCCCAAAGCCGTAAAAGCCAGCCATGCTACCTCCTTGTTGGGCTCTTCCTCCTTTCCAGATGGAGCGCCGCTCGCCGAACGCTTCCGCTGGAACACCCGTATCTCCTTCAAAAAAGCTTATGGCGGGGTTTAGGGTTTAGGGTGTACTCATATAGTATATACATTGGCCCCAGAGTACCTGCATAGGGACTACTTTAAGGCCAAAGTATATACTATATGAGCACATGGAATCTTAGGCTTCATCATGATTTTATGGCTTGGCGTGGCGGGCTTTCGGGTGTTCAGGGGTTTGGGGGATTTTAAGCGGTTACTAGTAGGAGTCTCCTTCATCGTGATCTTATGGCTGGGCGTTGCGGGTGTTCGGGTCTTGAGGGGTTTGGGGTTTTTAAGCGGATCATGATCTTATGGCCCTAAACCCTAAACCCTGTTCGGGTCTTCAGGGGTTTGGGGTTTTTAAGCGGTTAGGGGTTTAGAGTTTAGGGCTCTTACACGCCTGACCCGACAGCACAGACAGGCAAGCCCCATTTGAAGGCTTGGGAAGCCGAAGAAGTCTGGGTTTAGGGTTTAGGGTTTAGTTTTTTTTTGAGGGCCTTTTTGATGGTTTTAGGGGTTTAGGGTTTAGGAAACCCTAAACCCTAAATCCCAAACCCGAAACCCCAAACTCCAGGAAACGGCACACAACAACCCCGAAGCTTGTAGCCACGCCTTAGACCTGGCTCCAAGACGTCATCCCTAAAGCGTATCTTATAGTCTACCTGCTTAAGAACGTCACCAGGAAATTATAGAAAAAACAAAGGCCAGAAAACAGTAGGTTTTACAGGGTTCAGGAACTGAACACCCCTGGTCCTGAACTTTAACTAAACCACTCATAGAACTCCGCATTCCGCATCCTGTTTCAGGATGTATCAGGTCTAGCTCGTTCAGTACAACCCTAGACCCTAAACTCCAAACCCTAACACCCCCAAACCCTAAAACCCCGAGCCTAAAGCAGGCCCGTCCACAATCTCAAG